GAGATGGATTGATACGGTGGCTGCGATGATGGGCTCAAGTATAGCAGGGATTGTGGGGCTGGCGCGGGATCGAGCAGTGTTTCGTTCTGCTGTGCATGGGGTCGCTATGAGTTGGAAACGACTTGACGGCACTTAACAACAACAAAACACAGCAGGTCATACACATTTTGTTCCATGACATTGACTGCGGTTCCCCACAATATAACATCTCTCTTCCTACTTCCTCCCTGTAGTTACCTCTTCCTTGTGTCCTTCTTTCCTATGCATTCCTGACCCCTGAGCTATCTCCCTGTGCAAACACTGCCCTTGTGTTGTCCACAATTGATCCCTCTAAGGAGTCTGTCTACCTGATGTAAATGTTCATGCTATTTGCCTGTCTATTGTTTGGCTAGAAGGCACAGGAGTGAGTTCAATTCTAGATCTGAAGAGTAACTAGGGTCCATTGTTTTGGGCTATCACCAGGCTCTATCAGACCAGTCAATCTGGTTGTTTTTTTGTGATTTTGATTTTTGTTGCACATTGTTCTCCCACTCTATCCAGGATCTTTCAGAGGACATATTTGGTTTAAGATTTGAAGATTATATCAGGGCAGTAATTATAGAGGTTCATCTAGCCTTCATGGCTCCAGAAAATCTGTAGGATTCAAAATTCTGTTCTTTATTTTCCCCCTTTTGATCAGGATTCCTCTAGAGAGTCTTTGATCAAAACATTCAATAATGATAGCTCAGCACCATCCTGTTCTTCTGGTCTCATGGCAAAGGCAATTATTGTTCATCAAGGCAATGAGCCACAAATTCTATATCTTCTTCTTGTTTCTGACTCTCCTTCTTTGTCTGTTGTTTTTCCTCCTTCCTCTGTTATTCCAGGTGAATAGAGACCAATTGTAGTGCCTAGGATTGCCACTTAAGAGCTTTTCAGACCCCAGGCACCATGGAACAACTGAGGGGTAGAACAGAAGCACTAAACATGTTATTAGGCCAATTAACTGGGATGTGTCATGAAACCATGACCCTTATGCTGTATTCTTTGTTTACAGTTCTTTGAGCTTTGACAAACTTAGAGTTATGTAACTACCACCATAATCAAGATGTAGAACAGCCTTATCGTCCAAAAATATTCTCCATTCACCCTTTGCCTCCACCCTCAGCCCCTGACAACTCTTTGATCTGATTTTTATCCTTAAAGTTTGCCTTGGTAAGAATATGATGTAAACGAAAGCATAAAATGAGGTATCTTTTTGGCACAATACGTTTGAGGTTTAGTCATGTAATTACATGTTGTGAGTATTTTGTTCCTGTTTACTGCTGAGTAGTGCCTTATTGTATGGTTGTACCACAATTTGTTTCTCCATTTCCAAGTTGAAGGATGCTTGGATTGTTCCAGTTTCAGGTGATTATGTATAAAGCTTCCAGAAGCATTCGTATACAGGTTTTTCTGTGAACATAGATTTTCATTTCATTTAGGTAAATATCTAGGAATTGTAGGGTTGCTGAATTGTATGGTAAGTGAATGTTTTTAAGAAACTGCCAAGCTGTTTCCTTAAGTGGCTGTAAAAGTTTGCACCCTACCAGCAGTGTATGAGATCTGTAGATTTGTGTCAGGTTTTTTTGTTTTTTTGTTTTTTTTTTTTTGCGAACTGCTAACTGACAGGTCAGCACTTTGAACCCATCAGCTACTCCAAGGGAAAAGAGATGTGGCAGTCTGCTTCCTTAAAGATTTACAGCCTTGGAAACTCTATGAGTCAGTTCTACTCTGCCCTATAGAGTCTCTGAGTCAGAATCATCTCGACAGGAGTGCATAATAGGTATTTAGTGGTTCCTTAAGTGGTTTTCATTTGCCTTTCCTTAATAAAGTTGAGCATCTTTCATGTGTTTATTTGGCATCTATGTATGTTTGGTAAAGCTCCTGTTCAAATGTTTTGCCCCTCCTCATTTTCATAGAGTTGGTTTCTTTTCATTGAGTTCTTTTTAGATTCTGGCTACAAGTCCTTTATCAGTTATGTGATTTGCAGATACTTTCTCCAATTTGTCTTTCCATTCTTTTAATTGTGTCTTTGAAAGCACAGGTTGTCTTCATTTTTTATTAACTTTAAATTATCAGTTAATTTTGCTTTTATGGATAATGCTTTTGGTGTTATACCTAAGAACTCTTTACCTCACTCAAGGTCACACAGATTTTATCTGTGTTTTCTTCTAAAAGTTTTTAATTTTAGGTTTTGTCATTCGTTCTATTATAGTTAAGTGTAGTGTTTTTTTTTTTTTTTAAATACAAAGCAAGGTAAATGCCTTATAAATAGCATAAGTAGTCACTCTTACATAGTGTCTTTGAATCAGTGAGGACTTATAATGTGAGATTTTAGACTGGATCTAAGCATATAAAATTTAAAACATGTTAATTATTAGGTGTTTCTAAATCTAATAATCCTGAGTTTGTATTAGTTTTTTATATATATATATATATATATATATATATATATATATATATAGTGTGTGTGTGTGTGTGTATGTCCAGTGGTTCAAAAGTCTGAATGGCCTTTTGAATAATAGTGTATCAATTTATATATTTACATTTTTATTTTGGTTATGGTGAAGTTTTGATTGATAATTGGTTATGTATAAGCTTGAATATTCAAGATTTTTTAAAACAGAAATGACTTTTAGTTTTCAGTACTGTCATATATAAGAAGATTAAATGGCATAGCAGATCTTGAGTGTTTTTCTAAAATACTTTATATGAGTCTATATGAATCCAGGTTTGATAAATTTGTTGAGTTCCTAAAGACCAATTTTAGGCTGGAAGACCCATTTAATTAACATCGGTAAGTAAAAACTTACAGAGCTCTGGTAGCATATTGGCTAAGGCACTTGACTGCTAACCAGAAGGCTGGCAGTTCAAACCCACCAGCCACTCCTTAGAAGGAAGATGGGGCAATCTACTTCTGTAGTGATACTGCCTTGGAAACCCAAGGAGGGGTTGCTATGAGTCGGGTCCGACTCGATGGCACATAACAACAACAACAACAAGAAGATAAAAATTTGTCAATAATGTGTTTTTCTTTGACTCTTCCTCCTTTCTTCCCTTCTCTCTGCTTCTCCCCCCCCCCCCCCTTTTCCCTTCTTCCTTACTTTCTGGTGTGCTCCTTCCTGGGAACTCTAGAACTATGGGATGTACATGCATGTGTACACTCTTTCTCTGTGTCTCTTTCTGTCCATCTGTCTGTAAGAAAAGTCCTTCACCTGAATATTTGTACATAGAGGTGAGGTCAAGAAAATTTAGGTATCTGACTACATTAGGAAATGGAATGGATTTGGAAAAAGTGTCTCCACTTGGCATTGAACAACTCTCAGCAAAATACAGTAAAATAGATGATAAATTTGACAGATCAGGAGTTACATTAACATAAGATATATTTTGATTCACTTTTTGTATTGTAGCTTTCTCCCATAATTATAAATTTCTTAAGCTCTAATTTTTAAAACAAAATAATCCTGCATTTAAAGATGGATATTTTTGACTAAAGAAAGATGTTTTTTGATCATTTGGAATTGTGTCATTTGACTTTTATTGCTTAGCTATGTTTTTCCTTTAAACTAATTGCTTTGCTTCTTAGACTGTATCTTATCTTGGAATAAAACATTTTTTCAGTTGCTTTCACAAATGTTTTCTTACTTTGTTGAGTTTAGTTTCTAGTATGTAATGACTTTTTTTTTCCCCCCTCAACTTTTTATTGTAATTTGGGTGAGGCTGTTGTGGTTTTTCTGTTGCTGTTGTTTGCTTTTGAGAGTCCAGGGCATAAATTTTGATTACTGGTGATCATTTTGAAACCCAATCAAATTATTGATTTAATAAATTCATCATTAATGTGTGCCTTTTTGGGAGTAGCTTTGCCAAACTTAATCATAATTTCATTTATCTGTTGTCCTGCTTTTACATTTTGATATGTCAGCTGAATAATAACTATGTCACCTTGCATTGCAAAGCAGCTTGTGTTTGTCAGAAAACAATTAAAGTAGCTAAGCACTGCAATTTTTAATAATCTTACTAAGATTAAGGCATTGCACCTAAAAGTGTTTTATTGTCTGTGGTAACCTTCTTGGAATGACAGATTTGTGTTCTGTCCCACTTCCAGGTCATCCTGTTCAGTTCTACAGCATGAATAGACCTGCCTCTCGCCATACTCCCCCAACAATCGGGGGCTCATTGCCCTACAGACGCCCTCCTTCCATAACTTCACAATCAAGCCTTCAGAATCAGATAAATGGAGGACCTTTTTATAGCCAGAATCCAGGTTAGATTTTCTTTTACATTCTATAGAATATATCTAACTAAATAACCTTGAATTACAAATGCCTAGCACATGATAGTTGTTTAATACTATTTGTTGAATGAATAGAAGAATGAATGAATACAAGATTGCTAATATCTTCCAATTCATTATTGGTATTTTTTAAATCAATACATAGTTGCTATATAAAGTTGTATAACATAATTTTTCTGAACATAATCCTTTTGATGGGTTAATGGATATTTCTTTTTAACGTAATTCTGTGGTGATCAGTATTTCTTCCTTTTTTAATCAAACATCCTTGCTCTATGAATAGCAAGTAATCAAGTTGAATGTACATGAACAGAGTTTAAAAGTGGCAAAGGAAAAGAGAAATGACATTTTTGAAGATGCTTTTGCTAGGCAGCTGTGCTATCTTGGTCAATTATCATATTAAATCTATGGTATTATCCCTGTATATAGATGGGAAAACTGGAACTTGGAGAAGTTAGTCCAGATACAGCTATCCATTCTATTACATCGTGCATAGACATACATTTTATACTATATATAATATCAATATTTTGCTTCTCCCTTCGAGAAGCTAATTGTAAATATTAGACTCTGATATGTCAACTTACTGCATTTTTCTGGATTTTTGCCAAGAGGCAAGCAATGACAGGGCACAACCCAGTCCATCTTCAGTAAGCCCTGAATTTTGTGGAGCTGAGTTTTTGAGACTACTACCTATTGATGAAACCTTAATTGTATCTTTGGAATCCTATAGAAGAAATATGATCCTCTTTCTACATGACTACTTACCGTTTAAAGAATGTGTTCCTGTTTATTATCTAACTTAATTCTTAACAATCATCCATAAAATAAGGCTGATGATCATTTTCATCTGTATTTTATGGGTGAGGAAATGGGCTGAAGTGATAGTCCAGTTAGGATTTGAATTTAGATTTTCTGACTCTAAGTTTGGTGTGCTATTTATTATATTACCTTACTTGCCTTAAGATTTCTAAAGATCTTTCTCTTACCCATCTGACTCTTCTCTTTTTGAGGGTAAGGATGCCCTCATTGTATTGTAAAGTATGTGAGAACCTGAGAGTTTCATCTAGCTGTATCCTGGGAAGTATGCTCAGTAACTGTTTGTTGAATATTGAATGAATTCTTTGTGCCTTTATCCAAATCCTTTCACTGTTCTGGATCTCTCTTATAAATTAAATACTACACTTCATTTGTAGTTTAACCAATGCAGAGTGTAATGTGGGTACCATCTGCCTTAGTTGAAATATACTTCTCTTATAGCTCTCTTTGATCATACTTAGTGTCTTCAGGTGTGCCATACTTTTAACTTATTTGGCAAAACTTCCTGTCTTGTTCATACATTCTGCTTTTAAACCATGTTTCCCAAACTCACGTTTGTACGATAACTATTTTGTACCTAAATGTGTTTATTACTTTTAAATTTTATGCTGCCTGTTTCATAGTTGTGCTGAGAGTGGGCTCTCTTCTGATCCTCTTAGAAATCTAGGCAGTTACCGTGTATGGTCCTTTGCCCTTCCTTGTCCATACATGGAAATTTGAAAGAACGATGTTAGTCCAAAATGGGCTGGTGCTGTAATGGAGCTCTGTGATGCTTCATTGTTACTGCTTAGGACCAACTATGCATGATACATAGAAAGTATATACAGTTGAGAAGGGTAGGCTTACAAAAACCCTCTGGGTGGAATTTATTTGAAGGATTTTTAAGCATACAATAGATATTTCAGTAATTCTTTGTTAATTGGATTTTTATGTACTTGAAAGTATATGTTAAAATAAAAAAACAAAACTATATTCTGTGGAATGATATTAATGAAAGTATTTTTCACAATAATAGAAGTTGTTGTTGTTGTGTTGTTGTTATGTGCCGTCAAGTCAGCCCCGACTCATAGCGACCCCTCCTTGGGTTTCCGAGGCAGTATCACTACGGAAGTAGGATTGCCCAACCGCCAGCCTTCTGGTTAGCAGTCAAGTGCTTTAGCCACTATGCTACCAGAGAATAATAGAAGTAAGGTCTGTGAATCAAGATTATTGGATCCTTAATTCTTTCTGTTAAGATCTACTTTTCTTTTCAGAAACTTAGTAACTGTTTAAAAAGTAACCACAGTTTTGTTAGTTGGTTAATCACAGTGTTTTTTATAAACTTAAAAAAAAAAAAAAACACCACCTAAATCATGTGTTTTGAAAAGCTCTTTTTTTCAGGATTTAGTGCTTTGCAAACCAGTGTTTGAAGACTATTAGATGTGTCTTTATTTTACTTAAGAATATTGTATGTGTAGGGGGAGAATATTGTGAAAAAAAAAAAGTGTCTTGTTTTATCCCACAGTTCCCACAGTGGTCCCTATTTTTTCATATTTAAAATAAAATCATTTATTATGCTTTCTCACTAGCTAATTTCCTGAGTTAACAAGATTTGTATTTTTCTGCTTATTGGAGTCTTGGCATGAATAAGTGCCTCTGAAGAAGTGAGCTGGCAGTAGATTCATGGTACTGCAAATTTAATAGGGTTCTGGGGCATGCAAGTCTAGCAGCCCTGTAACTATGTCTTCTCCTCACTTATTGACATGCTTGGGTTCCAGGGGCCAGGTCGCTATGGGAAAATCAGCATTATGTGGAAATGAAGGATGACCACATCATTGCCTGACTGCCAGATCACATCATTACCTAACTACCAAACCACCAAGAATCATGGCCCAGCCAAGTTAACATATAACCTAAACCATCACAGCCAGTGTTACTCTTGTCTCGCACCTTGCCCGTTTGGGACTGCCATATGTTATGTTGTTGCTATGTAAAATAGTCAGACACTAGATTTGTTACTATAGTTGTCAATGTGAAGTCTCAGATACCAAGAGAGTTGATAAGTGAGGAGTAAGTGTATTTGTTAACGCACCATTTGGTTTGATTTTGAAAGGGCAGAATTTGGTTTTGGTTTTTATTCCTTTAATATAGCGCTTAAAATATGGAATACCCCAATGTCTACTGTCAAGTCGTAAGAGCACAATAATTATTTTCTAATGAGATTCTTTTAGAAACAAGTTACTGAAAGGAGCACTTTGACTAGAACATAACTGAAGCCTATTGGGTCCTCATTGTTTCTTAATCTGATCCAGCCAGTGAAATAGCAATACCAATTTATTATCCATTATGCCAGCAGCAAGGAGGGGAATTGAAACACATAGGACTAACCAGGAGTTAACAGTTTGTACTTTATATATAGATGTGAAGCATCTTATTGGTAAACAATATATACATACATTTGCATATAAGTATACACATTGATGCAAACCTAGTTTGGTAAGGAATTGAGAATGTGGTGGTTAAGTAGTGAGGCTTTTAGTAGAATTTTACTGCTCATTTTAATACAAGGCTTTTTTTTTTTTTTTTTTTAAACAGCTAATTCATAAAATGATAATGTTGGCTTCTAGAAATGTGACTTCATATAATTATATGAGGTAGGAGAATTTCTGAGGGAATATGCAGTTTTACATAGGGAACATTTAGGCTTTACTAACACCTGAATAAAAATAAATAAAAAGAAACTCTGAAAAGAACATGTTAGGACAGTGATCGTGCAGAAGAGAAACCATACCACATATTCTCTGGGTGATGATTTATAGCATTACCTTGAATCTCTAGAAGAAGGCGGATGTGCTGGGGGCTTTACAAAGTCTAAATAAGGAGCAGTAGCAATAGCTCTTTTCAGATCTTTATTTTGGTTGTTGTTATGTGCCGTCGAGTCAAACCCGACTCATAGCGACCCCTCCTTGGGTTTCCGAGGCAGTATCACTACGGAAGTAGGATTGCCCAACCTTCCTTCCGAGGAGTGGCTGGTGGGTTTGAACTGCCAGCCCTCTGGTTAGCAGGCATGTGTCTTAGCCACTTATTTATTAGAGAATATCTACTCTAGAGAGAACAAGAGGGCGAGTAAGAGAAAACAACTAAAAAGTCCAATCTCAGATGACCCTTCCACACTGATTGATTAAACACAAGTGTGTTAGTTGTTTTTTTTTAAACTGTATATCTTAATTTGTATTTTTGGGGGTCATAAACATCATAATGATTTTATTTTTGAAAAGGACTAAAAATCTGACCCAGTTAATTTTTGTGATAATGTTGATAGTTAATGAGTAACCATATTTTTTTCCATCAGCATAGTTCCTCAAAGTTTTTTTTCAAATACCTTGTTCTAGGTTGCCATCCATATTTAGAAAATATTTCACTGTTAAAATAAATTGCTTATATTATTTCCCTCATAGGAATGTAAAGTATAAGCAACTAAACATGAATGAGCTATTAAATATTTGTGCCCTGTAAAGGCAGTGGTCTTAATGGTTTTATATGTAGTATTTATAGTGGTGGTTTTGTCTAATTACAGTGTTTATCTATGAAGCTGTGAAACTAAGGTGTAAAAATCTAACTTTTTTTCTCCAAAACTCTTTTAGTTGAACATTTTAAAACATCAGGCCTCAAAGCTTAAATGCTTCAGAGGACTTTATAAATAACTAGGAGGGAGCATAATTGGAAAGTCTATACATTTCATCAGCACAGACTCATCCTCTGAGTTTGGTTTGCTTACAGAGCCTTTTCTTGTTTATATCTGCACCTTGTGTGCACGTGAGGTATAGTTCTCACCCCTGTTCTATGTAAGATCTCTTTATAAACTCCATTTACTTGGTGAGCCTACATTTTCACATCATCTTCATTATTGTGTAAGGGCTAATAAGCTTTAACATATTACTGGATCAAAGTTTGGTTTGGACATTTCCATGGTTAAAGAGGGAGAGTGTTGTCGTACAAGGAATTAGCTTAGCTAAGTAAAATGAAAACAAGTTTGAAAGGTGTTTCCTGCCCTTGCTTGTTTGTGAAATGCATAGGAATAGAGATGGAATATTACAGATAATTCTCTGCATCAAGAGTCTGCTTAAATGCTCCAGAACAGTTCACCTTTTACTGAACTCCAGGGAAAGTAA